AAAACGACCACAATAATCACATTTGTACACATACTATGTGTGTGTACATGTGTATGTGATGAAGAAGCTTGATGGGATGCACAATCATGAATAGGCTTATCAATTTTTGGTGCATTATGACAAGATTGAGCTAAATGGCCTTTAAGACCGCAAATAGAACATTTGTGAATTTTGTCATACATATGTGCATAGTGAATATGTTTCTTAGAAGAATTAACATTGAACTTTGCACATAAGTCCATAAGCTTTTTATTATTAGCAATACAAGTGTTCAGTGTTGAATCTAAGTTAGATGTTCTTTTTCTCATTTGATTCAACTCATCATTGTGCATACAAGCATTGATACTAGAAGTAGGATAAACAAGATTACTCATCATAGATTTCAACTTATCTATTTCGAACATAGCATCACGTTTTTCATGAAGCAAACTAGCATTTTCAATTTTTAAATTTTCATTGCATTCTTTAAGAATTATATTTTTATTTACAATAAAATTAAACTTAGTAGCTAGTGTTTCATGAGTGGATTTCATATTAACATACTTACTCTTTACATCAATATAGCAATTGTGTCATTTTTCAAACTCAAGAGCAAGTTCATCAAAAGTAATAATGTCATCGTTATTGCGTACCTCACTAGGGTTATCACCTAGTGGTATTGTACTTGAGGATGAGGCTTCCGTAGAGCTTAAAGCGGGATTTTCCAACTCGTGTTGAATAGCCTCCAATTTTCCTTCATGTGCTTCAATAAGTTTCCATAAAGCGTAAGCACTATCAAAATTAGCAAATTTGTTAGAAAATAATGAGTGAAAAGCGCTAATCAAATATTCTAACAAAAGCTTATTCATGTTAAATAATCTTTTGTCATTGTCACACCATTTTGATTTTTCCAAAATGGGAACAACATAGGCATCCTCAATAATTTCCCATAAATCAAATTGATCAGATTGAACGAAAAGTTTGAATCTAATATGCCATTGAGCATAAGGAAAAATATCCAAACGAGGAGCAATATTAATAGCATATCCTAAACAGGATGAATCATACATATCCATAAAGATGAAATGCAAGAAGCACAATGTAATTAAAATTAGATTAGCACAAATACAATAACTTGGATCTTTAACTCAAGGCGGTTAGTCCTTAAATCAAAGAGCACTAAGCTCTGATACCAATTGTTCAAGGCGGTTAGTCCTTAAATCAAAGAGCACTAAGCTCTGATACCAATTGTTAGACCCTAGAGGGGGGATGATTAGGGTCTTATGCTAATCTAATCCCAATTAAATGCCAATTAAAATTATATTGATTAATTTGATCTTGCAAGATATGTATATGAACAATAAAGATGAATAAGAGTGCGCTAAGCAACACACAAACACACGATATGTTTACGAGGTTCGGTCCCCATGACCTACGTCCCCGCTCCTCACCTCGAGGAGATATCCACTATCACAATCCGGTTTGGAAGCCGGAACTTCTACACACTCGGTTTACAAGTTCACCGAAAACTCTCACACTACACAATCACTCAACAATCACACTTTACACACTAAGTGTAGGAATCTAGCCCGTGTCCTCCTCCTCAAGTGCTCGATTACAACCTCTCCCTAGGTTCGTCAATCGACGCCACTCCTATTGGATTTGACCCCGTCTCTCTCTCCTCACACTTCTCTCGGTGTACAAGTTTATTACAAGTGATTCTCTCAAATAAAAGTTAAATACAATGATTTGTTCTCAAATAACAAGTGAGAACTCAATGAAGCTCACACTCTCTAAATCACACCCCACAACCCACACTATATGGTATGAAGATATTTAAGCTCAAAAAGTGTGTGTGATAACAGTGAATGAAAATAATATAACTCAATGAATATAGCTAATCAAATGAAAATGAAATAATAAGCTATATAAGGAAGAGTTTAGAAAACTTCTCAATGAACAAGAAGAGCTGAAGAAATGATGATGAGGATGGATTCCTCAATTTAAATTCAAGGCTTCTTCTTTGTGAAAAAAACTGCTCTTTTGAAACAAGGCTTGAAACAAGGCACTAAACACCTCTTAAACACTTTGTAAACTTTGTAAACTTAAGTAATCAATTTTCTTAAGAAGTTTAAGTAGTTTTAGTGTTGAAAGCAGTAGGGTATTTATAACAACCCAATACATCAGTAAAAACCCAAGTAAAAAGACCAAAAACCCATTAGAAAACAAAACAGAGAAGTAGCCGTTACAGTGCAACGGCTATATCTGCGGTCGACCGCAGATCCACGGCCGGTCGACCGCTGAAGGCTGAAACCCAGAGTATGCTCTCTGGACAATTTGCGGTCGACCGCAGCGACATGCTCGGTCGACCGAAAACAGATATTTATGAAAACTTCAGGTTTAAAATTGGATTTTTAGGCATGTAAAAGTTAGCCAATGTTGTCCAACAATTATGAAACTTTAGGGAAAGTTTATAAATGAGAGAATAAGCATGTTTGAAAAGTAATTGTTGGAAATGCAATTTTATTTTGTAAAAGCTCACTGTTTTTGAGCAGTGTATAGAAAACCTGTTTTTCATAAAAATAAGAATTGAACTATGACTTATGAAGATGTATTTATATTTTATGAATACATTATATATATTATGAAGTATGATAGAGATGTAAACATAAAAACAATTCTAACAAAGTTTGAAACAAAAATCATTTGAACAAACTTGTGTTGTGTATATATATATTGAGCTTAAATAAAGTCATACACTATATGTAAACAAACCTCTCTTATACCTAGGTGATTGCCACATATAAACTTGCATCTTTAACTCTTGATATAGAAATCTTTTCACCATGTGTTGATGTCCTGAAAAGGAAAAATAAACCACAACCACTAGAAAACAAATTAGCTGTAAATTGTTTGGCAAATCATCATCAAAACCAAAGGGCCAACAATCTCCCCCTTTTTGATGATGGCAAACAATTTATTAGATAAGATATAACATGTATATGAATAAACCAAGTAACATGTATATGAATAAACCAAGTAACATGCATATGAATAAACCAAGTTTTCTCCCCCTTTGACAACATCAAAATGGGGAAAAAATAGGAGCAGTGCTCCCCCTGCATACATGCATGGGTTAAAAGATATGGATAGACACAAACTCCCCCTGTCAAGAAGCATAAGTAATTACATGATATATAAGATCCATACACAATGAAAAGGAAGAACTCACAAACATTTGAGTTATGATGTACCATCCACTTCATGATGGTATAAGCATAAAATATTAAGTTGAAGTGAAATGGAGATGCTCTTTCCTCCATCTTTTTTCACAATAATGGTTCATCTTACACATCATCTCGCGGAGGAGGCTGCAATAGCAGGGCCAGTCCATTATCGTTGGATGTATCCAATAGAGAGGTTAGTATTTAGAAAAATTTAATCGTTACCTATTAATATTTATATCTATTAAATGTAAATTTCTTTACATCTATATCTGATTAATATTCCTTTTTTAGATATTTGGGTTCAATGAAGCGTCAATTGCGTAACAGAGCTCGCCCAGAAGGTTCAATAGCTGAAAGTTACGTGAGAAGCGAGTGTCTCTTATTTGCCTCTCGTTATATGAGAGGGGAACAAACTGAACTTCAAGCACCCGTTGATAATAAGGAGTACACAGTTCTCTATCCTCGCGGGCTGAACAAAAATTATTCTAACATATTGTTAGATCAAGCGCATGCATATGTTGTAAATAATCTTGAAATCTTCTCGGAGTACCGGAGGTAAAATATCTAAAAAGAATTTTTAATACCATTTACTCTTTAATTTCTATTTTGACAAAATTTTTATTTTGACAATAATAATTAAATTTATGCACATTAATAGGCAACATCAGGAAAAACTTAAGAATGAAGTTACCGGTAGTACAGCTGTACATGACATTAAAGAAAGGCATATGAAGGAATTCCCTGCTTGGTTGAATAGTGAAGTAAGTATTGTTAAATTTAGCGATATTTGTATTTCATTGAAAAAAACTTAGAAATGTCTTGATTTAATAGTTTGCTTATTTTTGTATATATTTAGATCCAGGAACAACTTGTCCTTAATAATCAAATATCAGAAGAAGTGAAGGTTCACGCAAAGCGGCCTTACTATGCTGTAATTCAATATGGTGGGTATCGTGTTTACGGTTATAAATTTCACACGATGGAGGTTGGTGATACGAAGGTCACCCAGAATAGTGGTGTCATGGCTACCTTCTCACGGGAATGTTTCTCAAACAGAAGAGATCAGAATCCAGTTGAAAATAATATGACATATTATGGAAGGTTGGAAGATGTGGTGGAGATATTCTACGGCTATGGTGGTCCAAATGAACATAAATACATGATGTTCATGATTCGTTGGTGTTTTACAAAGACTCAAAAGGATCCCTTTGGATTTACAATTGTCAATCTCGATAAAGAAATTGATAGTGATGAAAAATTCATGTTTGCATCTCAGGTGGGACAATGTTTCTATGTGAAAGATCCTACAGTTAAAGACGAGTGGGTTGTCTTGTACAAGGATTCTAGGGCTTATATTCAACCTTCCACTAATGAAGATGATGACGAGAGCTATATAAACAACTTCAATGAGCCAAATACAGCGATCGATGAATTCTCGTACCCTCAAAACGTAGTGTTTGAAACGGATGCTCCAACAACTCGGACAGACATTCCAAATATTATCACAGACATTAATAGGAGCTAAACAGCAATTATTTGTAATCGGGTCTTCATGTAACTTTTTTTAGTTTGCAAATTGTATAATAAAAACTTTAATATCACTACAATGTATCTCAATTACCTTTTGGACGATATAAATATGTAATATCTTATTTTGTATATTCAGCTTGCAAATGCCTACAAACTTGATGTGAAATGAAAAATTTAGTAACGCAACAATACATATTGTTTTTATTTTCGCCAAGCCAATTTGCATCTATGTTATATTAATTTGTATGTTTATTCAACTTGCAGATGTCTAAAAATATTAACAGGAGGTTATTCGAAGCTAACCCCAGTCAAGACCAATCCACTGAGGAAGAGCCTCAGAGTTCAGGAGAGATGTCAGGTATAACTTGGTTTAACGAACGTATTTTTATTCATGATATATGCACAATGATAATTTATTTCTTTTATTTTTATAGGTGAGGGTGAGGAAGAGCCGACTCACATGCCATTATATGCAGATCCTCCAGTTATACTTCGAGCATACATTCCTGGGATTGAGCGCGGGCCCTTACCAGCATGTGCAGAGGGGTACAGACTCAAGCAGACTGAAAAATACATGCTTGCGAAAAAAAGATTGGATGAATGGGCCCCACAGATTGAGGAGATTTTGTCTGATGCAAACAATGAAATCAGACAAAGATTTGGTGAGTTTGATCAAAAACTTAATCAATTCCAGAATTTTTCTTCTTCCTTTTTTAGTAAATTCTAAGAGCTTAAATAAAAGTGTTGATTAAATAAAAGTGTTGATATATCTATTATTTCTTTTTTGTAGGTGAAAAACTTTACCAGAAGAAAGGACGCCAAGGAAGTGACTTTAAAAAAAAGTTACCACCGGATGGTTTCCGAGCAATTGTGAGATGGGGACATAATGGGATTCCAACCGGACAATGGGCTAATAACTTCAGCTCATACCTTGGATGTTTGATACAGAGGAGTGATAATGTGAATCCCTATTACGAGGCTTGGGAGCAGCCATTTCATGTCCTGGAGAGTATATATCGAGATTGTTGGGTAAATTCTTATATTTAGCACAATTATTTTTCAATTCTATCAATTGTCCATGCTTAACTATATTTTATTTTTTAGAGATATTTCAACATCGAAGACAATCCCGTAGGGTGAGAATTTTTATTTGGATACCAGGGAAAGTTCAAGCATTCTCTTCGGGAGTGGAGACATGAGATAAAGAAGAAATGCTTTGATTGTTTCACTCACAACTGGGAGAGGATATACAAGCGAGATAAGAGGGTTGAGTCTGAGCACTTAGCTGCACTTATAATATTGTGGGGCCAATAGGAGCACCAGGTAAATATGTATAGTAGTTAATTATCATCAAGTTATTTATCTGAAACTAGTGATATATTCCATTGTATATTATACCATGCACTAAAATTCTCTTTGTTCATGTTGAAGGAAAAATGTAGGAGAAATAAACTTAATCGATGGAAAAAAGATTATGATCATCATACGGGGACTACTTCATTTGCCCAGATTGAGGATCAATTTTGTAGGACAACGGTATAAAGTCTTTTAATCTTCTATGTATATTCTCTCCGCTTCTTAGAATATTTGATAAATAAAACTAATAAATATATTGTTAAATCTCAGAACGCTCCCTTTATCCTACTACCAGAACTGCACATGAGAACGATGGTTCAATTTAAGAAGGGGTACGATGAGGATGAGACTAAGAAACAAAAGCTAGAATTGGCGAAGAAAATGCAGGTTAACTAATTATCTTAGCTCTTATAAGCCTGTTATCATGTTGGGAATTTATTAGCACTTAACACTCTTCAACTATTTATTAGCACTTAACACTCTTCAACTATTTATTAGCACTTAACACTCTTCTTCACATGTACTTTTATGTTGTACAAACTATTTATTACACATTATAACCAAAATTTAACTTCAACATACTACTGAGTGTTAGACATTTACAATTTAGAAGGTCACAGTAAAAATATATGGCTTTGTACATGTGGAAGGCATCTCTTTATGGCCTAGAGTGTCTTAGACGCATTCATCTCTCGCCTAAGGGGAGGCAGCTTGAGAACCTATGCCAAACTGTAAGCATGTTTAAATTTAAAACATAATGTGTCAAGTACAAGCATGTTTTAGTTTTGTTTGCAATAAAAGAGTAGCATCACTAAGAGAATTCTAATGCACTACTTAGACAGCATGGTTTAGTTAACAGAAAAGTGTTTTTTTAATCATCTTCATCTCTGTAGGCGTGATGGTTTTTTCAGCCAATCTTTGCACATACAGTTTCATATTTTAAATTGTTGTGCAGATAGTGAGTTAGACAGGTCGATAATGTATCCATTAGGGGAACTTAAACTCTCTAATGTTTAACCTGCTCCGTGTGGGTGTGTGCTCTGTAGTCATGAGTGCCAACTCTTGTGTTTCAACGTGTGGTCACCTGTGGGTCAACGTTGGTGTGTGCATAATGGCATGTATGCACGTACATGTTTGTGTGGGGTGGGTCATGCTTGTGTTTCATGAAAGCTGTTAACAAGGTAAATATTCTCTAAGTGACTTTGACATGTCAAACAGTCAAAAATGTCAATTTTTAGGTTTACAAGAAGTGGGACCTCGCTGTTTTACAGCTGCAATTTCTGCAAGGCAGCTAGATGTGTTGAGAAAACACCAACTGAATGTATAGAATATAGTTTGATGGAAGGTACATATTCTAATTCATATTCCTTGACAGCCATTGCTGCATAAAAGGAGAGGGCATTTTCTAATGACTTACAAGCCAAAGCACCCTTCAACTATTTATTAGCACTTAACACTCTTCTTCACATGTACTTTTATCTTGCACAAAACACCCTTCACATGTACTTTTATTTTACTTGTTCAGGTAAATATCTTTTTTTTGAAAGGCTAATTCTTAAATTTATTTTTTGGACTTCTAGGAAGCTCTGGAAAACACGTATTCTGAGGTTGTTGCACAGAGCCAAGAGCCCCTGACTAGAGAGCAGAATTATAATGTGAGCCATCTAGTTTGTGGACTTCCTAAAAAAGGGAGGACCAGGTGGATGGGAGTTGGAGCTCAGAGGGTGTCTACACAATTCCAGCCTCCGCCGATTTCCACACCCTCGACTATGCCATCGGGGCCCTCTTACATGCCGCAGGAGGATTGCACTCAGCAGGCGATGCAGCTTGTTTCCTCTGTGATGAGTATGTTAGATGGCCAAATTCCCGAGGAGATGTGGGAGGATATTCAAGAGGAGCTTATGCAAGTGATCCAGCCTACTGCTACTTTTGCGATGGTTTCTAGGCAAATAATGAAATCTTGTAGAAGGCGGGTTCCTACTCGGGTGCAAAGCCAGATTATGAACTTCTTGGCCAATCAAAAGGCATTTACTGGTAATGGAGAGAGTAGCAGACAGGTATACTTATTATATTTGTAAAACATGATTACACACAATATTATGTGATTCTAAATTTAAATTATTTTGTTGTTAGATTGAAGATGATACTATTGGGAGCACGAGTCGTAGGGATGGATCCGCCAGTGCCAACGCGGACGATGACATGGATAGGGCGGATGACCTATCTTAGTGAGTTATATCCTAAACTCGTGTTTGAATATTGTGGACATCTTTATACTTGAGATTATGATACTCGTGTTTGTATATTGTGGACATCTTTATAGTTGAGATTATGTATTGTTTGTTGTGAAAATTATTATTGTGGATTTGGAACTTATCGTGAAAAGTGAATGTACATATTTCGAATGTTTGTGAAAATTGATTGGATGAGAGCCGTCAGCGATAAGTATCGCTGACGGCTATAGTGGCGACGGCAATGCCCGTCAGCGATAGCGAAACATCGCTGACGGGATTCCCGTCAGCGATGTTTCGCTATCGCTGACGGGCATTGCCGTCGCCACTATAGCCGTCAGCGATACTTATCGCTGACGGCCCCCCGTCAGCGATAGTCCTTCCCTGACGGGACTATCGCTGACGGCGTATCCTTGACGGGACGCCGTCAGCGATACTTATCGCTGACGGGAATTGGGGCATCGCTGACGGGAATGCCCGTCAGCGATACATGATTTTCCACTAGTGTTACTAAACTCTAGCAATCTTTGAGCAAGAGGAAGTAGTAGGATTTTAAAGTATCTCGGGGTGGATATCTTGTCTTGTGTCTTAAGAAAACTCTGATTTTATCAAGCTCACTTGAAGACTTGGAGATCTACTACGAGGAGATTTACTACTACAAAGAGCAAGAGCTAGGGGTTATTCGATCTTCCATCGAATCACGCTTCGAAAGTATGACTTTCTAACTCTTGTGTGCTCTCTTTAATATTGGGATCATGTTAGATTTATTTAGGATGGTCCTATTTTGTATTTTATGATCTCTACATGCTTAGTATAATTATACATATAGTCTTCCGTTGCGTAATTTGCATGTAATTAGCATGAATTTCCTTCATGGTATCAGAGCCATGGTTCCATCTAATTAAATCGTAACATGAATATCTAACTCATAGAGGTCTTTGTACTTACTTCTAATTACTAGTTTAATTAAAAAATGTTTTAACGAAACTAGTTAATTTAATCAAGTTGTTTTGTCATTAGTTATACTAGTTGTTGATTCAAAAATGTGATTTTTGGTTCATAAGTTTTTAGGAGTAAAAACACTTGTATAAATTATAAAATACTTTTTTACAACTAGTGTAGTTATATGTTAGAAGCATGATAGTCCTATTTGACTTAGGATAATCCCTATGTTATCTACTTTTTCAATTTGTTGCATAACTACATAGATGCATATTTCTTAATGTTGATTAAGTTATATGTTTTATATCATCTTGCGTGGATGCTATGTTTATGGATGGTAGTGGACAACGTTTCTCTTGTATTTATTGTATTGATGTAATATAGCTAGAAATGTAATAGTATTTTTGACCTATTCCCTCCCCGAGCATGGGCTATGCCTACGGGTTTAGACACTTGCTCACCAATCATGGGCTACGCCTACGGGTATAGGCCCTTGTTTGGGTGTGGGGGGTATGGTTGTTTAGTTTAGTTATTTTATTTATGGTTTTTATTTTACATTCAATGTAATATTATTATCCATCCTACGAGATGGTTTTTCCATTATAAATGGGGCTTGCACGTCCTATGTATATATGATTGTAATAATACAAGATTTGCAAGGGAGCTACCACTGCAAGGAGTTACAAATTGCTTGCCAAAATGTAATTAGTGTAGTTGCATTTTATTCCTTTAGTTGTCCACTACCATTCCATATTGCTATTACATATGTTGGTTATGCCCTAATTGTAGATGTCAATACAATTGGGTGCTATATTCTATAAAGTTTATATCTCTATCTAACTAGAGAATAGTTTTTATTATAAAAACTCATTTTTAAACTTTGTGATACATGACAGTAAGAGTTTATTGACCATAGAGTGGTGAGACCGTCATTAACATAGCGTTAGTATGAAAGATAAATAAACCTAAAGCAGTTAAAAGAGATGTATTTAGAACGAACTTTTAACTAGTGTCTAGGAAAGTAATTATGAGATATAGCTCATCGGGTGATTTCCAACTTAAGATTAGGGGTGATGCCTAATCTTTCGCGCTACAGTCTTAAAGAGCGGTGGTTACTTAATTAAGGTCCGATGAACATTCGCAGTAAATATCTCGAAACCCTCCCACCAATCTTGTACTTACCTGACTAGTTTAATTGTTGCAAGTATAAATGTAGAGCATCTTTAAACTATATCAAGTTTGATTACGGTAAAAGATATATGAAATCGTCCGTAGCCCTCCATCATTTCAGTTGAATACTACTAAGCTTATAAATACTTTGTTTGTTGGCTATCGTCAAGGCAATACTATTCTATGGCTAAGTAGTATTCATCTGCATATAAGATATAAGGATAGCTTAAGTTGGTTATGCAACTTTGTTGTCCTTCGTCAAGAGTATGCATAAGTTAAATTTAAGCCAGTCAAGAAATAATGGATCCAAACTTAACTAGCATTTTATGATTTGTTGGCCATCGTCAAGGTCATAAAAGACTAGGGGCGAAATCATATCAAGAATTATAAGAATGTAAAAGACAAAAATTGTCTACCAATTATTGAGTATCTCGATTTGTTAGCCATCGTCAAGGTTGATACATTCAATGATAATTGAATCTTGATCCTACTTGAAAACAAGGGGTTGTTTTCCGATCACCTCTTATAAAGGTTTTGAGAGACTCGAAAAATAGTGGGAGGCATAACTTAGAAAAAAATAAACCAAATCTATTTTATGTATTGAACATTTGCTAAAATATTTTTTTCTCTCTTTTAGGCCATTATGTCTGGCTTAAAACTCATACTAGAACAGAACAAGTTAACCAATCCTAACTACAAAGACTGGTTGAGGAATGTTAAAATTGCCCTAACTTGTGACAAAGTATCATATGTCCTCACAACGCCGGAGCCCCTTCTAGGCCCAGAACCCACTGTAGCGGATAATAAAATCCGCATAAAGTGGGATAGAGATTGTTCACTTGCTCAATGTCTCACAATTGCCTCTATGGATTTGGTTCATCAGAGGCAACATGAGAATATGGATGTCAGATCCATATTTCGTAATACAGAAGAACTGTATAGCGAGCAACCATGACAAATAAAATACGTGGCGTCTAGGAATTTGTTCCAGACAAAAATGACTGTGGGATCTTTTGTTGGGGACCACGTCCTCAAAATGATCTCCTATGTTAATGAGTTTGAACTTTTGAACACAGGCCTAGATGCAGATAGATATACAGATATCGTTCTGCAGTCCTTGACATCAGTCTACTCCCGATTCATATCACAGTTCTTGATGATGGATCTGGAGCCTACTTTTCCTGTCATGTTTAATTTGTTAAGACAGGAGGAGAGTTCTATGAAAAAGATACAAACACCAGCCTTGATTATAGGAAAATCTTCTTCCACTTCTAGCAAACTGGTTGCCAAGAAAAAGAGAATGAAGAAAACTACTAAACTAAAGAAAGGTCTTAAGAAGGCTGTCAAGAAGGACAAAGGGAAGGCAAAAATGACGACTGTAGAATGCTTCCATTGTCACTAGTCAGGACACTAACAAAGAAACTATCCTAAATTCCTCGCCTTACTCATCAAGAAGAAGCAAGTTGTTGCTTCATTTTCAGGTGCGTTGGTTACTCAGAATTGTTTTTCTATAAATCCTACATCTTAGGTATTAGATACTGGATCAGGATCTCACATCTGTAATTTGTTACAGGGGTTGAGAAGTTATAGAAAGCTTGATACTGGAGAGATGACCCTACAAGTTGGTAATGGTGCAATAGTTGCAGCAGTTGCAGTTGAGGATTTTCATCTAGCTTTACCAAATAAAAACATTTTAATTTTGAATAGCTGCTATTTTGTACCAACTATGATGTGTAATATAATATCCATATCTTTATTAGATAAAGATGGATATATGTTCAAGTTGGAGAATAATGTTTTGAATATCATATATAATCAAAAGTTGATTGCTTATGGAACATTGTGTAATGGCATCTATACTCTTAATCAAAACACAATTCTGAATACTCATCACACTAATAAAAGAAAGCACTCAGTTATGAACGACGCTTTCTTATGACATTGTAGACTTGGTCATATTAATAAAGAAAGACTTAGCGAGCTGCATAAGCATGGATATTTAGATCCAATTGACTTTAATTCTTATGATACTTGCAAGTCTTATCTTAAAGGCAAAATGACCAAGACTCCATTACAAGAACTAGAGCAAGAGTTACAGAACTCCTAGTATTGATACATAGTGATGTATGTGGTCCTATTTCTACAATGGCCAGAGGTGGCTACTCCTACTTTATTACTTTTACTGATGTTTTTTCAAAATTTGGACATGTGTTTTTGATGAAACACAAGTCTGAAGCATTTGATAAATTTATCGAGTATAAAAATGAAGTAGAGAACCAAACAAGCAAGAAAGTTAAAATCCTTCGATCGGATCGAGGAGGTGAATACTTAAGCTTGGAATTCTTAGGATTTTTAAAAGAGAATGGGATTCTCTCTCATGTTACTCCACCCTTTACACCATAGCTTAACGGCGTGTCAGAAAGGAAGAATCGTACCCTATTAGATATGTTACGTTCCATGATGAGTAACGCTGAGTTACCTTTTTTATTCTTGGGGTATGCGTTGAAAACAGCAGCACACTTACTGAATAGGGTCCTAACTAAAGCAGTGCCTAAATCTACATATGAGATATGGTATGGGATGAAACCACATCTTAATTATATTAAGATTTAGGGATGTCATGCTTATGTAAAAAAGCAAGATTCTAAAAAGTTAGAGGCACGCTCAGTACTATGTAAATTTGTAGGATATCCAAGGAATTCCTATGGATATTAATTCTACCACATCGATGAACAAAAGATAATTATTTCTCGGTATGCTACCTTCTTGGAGAAGGAATTTCTTTAAAAAGAAATTAATGGGAACATGGTAGAACTGGAAGAAATTTTAGAGATACAAATTAATACTGATAATTTAATAGAAGCAAAAAATTCAGTTGTACCAGAA